GATTATTTTCTGGCCAGAACACAGAACAAAGCATTCCAGAGAAACCTTCATGTGTTTATCTACTTGCTTCAATGCTCTGACTTTCCTGACCAGTCAGTGTGGTTATCAGGAAGGCAAAGGCGTTGTAAGAAGACTATTTTCTGCGTCTACTTTCTCTTCAGTATGTTTGTTTTCAACAGGATTATTATAGATTCACCTTAACTGGAAATTTATTTTCTGATTTAAAATACTACTAACTTTCCATTTTCAGTGAATCATAGTATTTTAAATATCTAGGTACTTTTATACAACTTGAATTATCAAAGATTTATGTTTTAGAAAAAAACCCTATTTCAAAGTGAAATTTCAGTTGTAAAGTATTTCTAGCAATTTGTAAGATTCGGTGTCTTAGTAAACTGTTTTATCTAGATTGGAATAAAGAGACTTGGCTCCCCAATGACATTTAGATAAGCAATTCTCTGAAAAGAATCTAAATGTCTGCTCATAGGGAATGGATAACTCTGTGACGTTTGATTGATGGAATTCTCTACAGAACTTCAAAAGAATGAAATAGACATTAATGCAGCAATATAGATGGACCTCAAAACCAAAAGTGTAGAATGAAGAACACAGATTTCAGAATATTATCTCTTTGTTATGTAAATGTTAAACATCACTTAAAACAATGTCGTATACCATATAATGTTTGTCAGTGTGTGTGTGTACGTGTGTGAATAAAAAGTGGCTCTCTATCGAGTTCATGATAGTGGTTGCCTCTAGAAGAGGAACGGGGTAGGGAGGGGAACATAAATCTACATTTAAAAAGTCCCCTAGAAGACGTGGTTATTTTGGTTAATGTGTTCATGGCATTTGTTGTATTAACACTTGGACTTCTATTAACATTTTTGTAACAAAAAAATTCCATGTACTATTTCCTAATGAAATAGATTCCAACCAGGAACCATACATTTATCAAGACTCTGGGAATGAGATGGAAGCTACCCTAAAACATCTATATTTCCTGATGTCCTTCTGTGAAAAATGGAAGTTGACAGAATGATCTTGAACACGAGGAAAGCTCCAGGTTGACCTGGCTCCTGGGAGGCTATATAGCTGACAGGTTAAGAATAAAGACCCCGGCAGCAGACTGGGGGCCAAACCCTGGCTTGACGCCTTCCAGCTCTGAGACCTTGGACAAGCCAACTTCTCGAAGCCTCAGTTTCCTTATCTGTAGAATTAGAATAACTGTGCCTGTCTCAGTGCTGCTGCGAGGATTGTATGAGTTCGTGCCTGTAGTGGGCATGCAGAAAAGATCAGCTATTATTAGTTTCATCATCCCTCCTGTTGTCAGCAGCCTCTGTTCTTCCATTGCACTGTTTTCATTCTCACCTCAGAATCTTTGCAATCTTTGCAAACACTGTTGCCTCTGCCTAGGGTGCTTTCCATTTCCACCCTATTTCCTCTGGTTAACTCCTTCTCAGAGCAATTCTCTCAAGTTCTCCAGAGCAGCTCCCTGACCTTCCCCACCCGGGTCAGTGCCAGTCGTACGGCAATTGTAATTTAATAATTTCTTAGGAACTACTTGCTAATTTCTGCCTCTCTCCTGGATTGTAAACTGTTTTTCTTCTTCGCTACTGTATGTTGAGTGCCTAGGACAATTGGGAAATTATTGATTGACTAATTCAAGAAAGTTATAGTAGAAGGTGAAAGTTTTCAGAGTTAATTTTATCAGGAAATGAATTTGACTCACTTTCCCTAAAGGATTAACCTACTAGTATTAGGAAGGAAATCTAGGGTTATATGATTTCATAAAAAATATGTATCACATGTATTGGCTTATTTGTATTAATAATTATAAGGTACCCCAAATTAAGGTTTGCATCACATTTGTAGTTTGGCCTTAGAGGATCACCTGATGGATCGTAATAGAAGTATCACCACGTATTTTCATTTGGTGTGGAGAGCAAGACAATTTCCAGCACTTTAATCTTAAGATTTGATATATGCGTCTCTGACTGTTTACCCCCAAGCTAAACTCACTTTTGTCTTTTAAATATAGCAGCGGAGGAATTACCAAACAGAAGGTGATACTTCCCAGGGAGCAGAATAAGCCAGGTTCCTTCAGAATAAACTGACAGTTTGAAAAAAGGGCTTTTGTAAATCAGAGGGAATGTTACTTACAAGTTTTAAGCAAACTAAAACAGTAAACCCTTTGGAAGGGAAACTTTCAGAGTCAGAGAAAAGGCAGGAAACTCATTCCCTCTTAGCCGTGGGTTTATTTACTCTGGGAGAAAAACCTAAGAACACTTTAAAATTTGAGGAAGGTCTGTGTGTGTTCAGATATTAGCATATTTTTCCAGGAAAGACATCATGTAGGATTTTGAACTGATCGAAAGCCCAAAGCTTTTAGATACATAGGGGAGCAGAGCAAAATATGAGCAGGCAAGAAACTTTCAAAGTGTTGAAGGAATTTTTATGACCCAGATGAGTGGTAGGGAGGTGAAATTCCAGGGCTAGGAAAATAATGCAAAGCCCTGCATTGACAAAGAAGACTACAAATTATGGCCTTGGGAGACTTCCTCCCTCCCCACCTCTGGAGACAAAATTTTATAACATGAATCACTGGGAGAAATGACTGTATAGCCATATTTCCTCTCATCATGCTTCTCTGTTAACTGTAGTGTATGGAAACCATAGACAACTGCATTTTGAATGCTGAGTGTATATTCATTCATTTATCAGAACACACTTACTTGGTTTCAGTTATTTGCCAAACTTAGAGTAAGCATTATTATTTTTTTTAATGGAAGGGAAACATCTCTTCTTCAGAATTGTGCAAAATTAGTTATTTTATGACATAGGGGTTACTGCGAGATACCAGGATACAAATTTTTTTGGAAATTTGAACGTATGGACTCACAAACCCTGCTGTTAACCACTTGAGCTATTTGTTAATCGTCTGCTCCCATATCAGGGTTGGGGGTACTTTTGAAGTCATGTGGTTAGAAGACTCCAGGCACTTTGGGAACGCTGGTTTAAACAACATTCTAATGCTTGTAATCAAGCTACATCCTGGATCCTCAAGACCCACAGTCTTGACCCACAGCATTGGCGTCACTTGGGAGCTTGCTAGAAATGCACATTCTCAGGCCCCACCCCAGACCTACTGAATCAGAATTAACATTTTAACAAGGTGCTGAGGCGATGCCAATGGACATTGAAGTTGAGTAAGCGCTGCTGTCCAGATCCCTCTCAAGGGGGTTTCAGAACGGTGTCTTTAGTAAGGAGTGACTCATTCCAGCACTGCAGCCTGGATTATCTTCAGGCAACCTAAATAGTAGCAAGTTCCTCCATACTGAGCTCAAACCTGACTCCTTGAATATTGCAGTCACTACCTTGGCTTAACCCCCCAGTAACCTTCAGAACCAGACCAATGCCGCTTCTCATGAAGGCCGTTCAGACGTGAGAATGGGCACTCTTCTTTCAGACCTCGAGTGAAGCTTCTCCAGGTGTAGCTAAATCCCATCCCCCACTTCTTCCTGGTCTGACATTTTTTGAGGTTTCCTTACCAACTTGTTCAGACGAGATAATCATAAAGGACCCTTCCAGCTTCAAGACTGTGATTGCTTCTTTACTCCAGCAAGTAATAATAGTAGCGGGTAGAAGATGAGAGAAACCCGGGAGCTGTACTTTCCATACATTTAGGGAGAATGACTCTGAGGCACAAATTTATCATTATCTGTAATTTCCTTTAGGTTCCAAATCTGTCTCACGGTGGAGACTTCTGTTATAATAATAGCCATTAAAGAGCACAGCTTTGCTTTTCTTCTAATTTCTAAATGCGTCTTAGCACTTCAACAGTCAAATGCATATAGAAATATAAGAAAATAAGCATTTTCTGTTTCTCTATAATTTTAAACCTTTAAGAAAAAATTCCCTGTAATCCACAACTCAGCACATCAACTGATTTCATTTTTCTCTAATGCCTTTCAGTAATGTGTCTCTCACACACACACACACACACCACACAACACATCTAACACATAGAAATAATCTTAGTGTACTCAGCTTTTTAAAATCTTTCTTGGTAGAATATAAATATTTTTTGATGTTATTATATAATTTTCATAATAATTAAGCATAATTATTTCCTTATTGCAGGACATTAGAGTTCATAAGTGGCTTCTGAAGTAAAATATTTGCCATATTTTTGTGGGTTTTGCTTTTTGATATTTGTTTCCTAGGAATTTTTTTTTAAATAACATATTTTCTACTAACATGAGAAATACAAAGCATGCAGTGTTTGTTTGTTTTTGTATCAAGGTTAGTCTTGTGTAAGAAAAGCTGTACTAGGAGCAGTTTGAGATTTTTTTCAAAATTTTTTGAGAAAGTGGCCCACAGCACTTTCCTAAACTAGTTCCTCTTCCTGGTAATCCCCCAGGCTTCCGTCCCCTCCCTTTCTTCTGGGTATTTTTATTCTCTCCACCTCCTCCTCATGCTCCTCTCTCCCTCCCATCCCTTCCTCTTCCAGGGTTTCAGAGCAGCAGCTCCTTCTGTCCTCTCCGCACTGAACAATGAAGCTGTGTATACATGGAGAGAAGCTGAAAAGAAGACCTGGTTCTTTCATTACCGGGTTGCTTTGGATTAATTGAGCTGCATGGCTTAGTTTTTTCAAGGAGACGGAGCTGGATCCTGTGGATAACAGGTCATGAACGACAGGAATGTAATACATGCTGCTTGTTTTGCTGTTGGATTTTTTTGTTTGTTTGTTTTTGGTAATTTTGTCATCCTGTAAAGCATTTTTGGAGGGGTCAGAAGTGACCCCTATTTATTAAAATAGTGTTTTAATTAAAATTTGTCTACTGGCTTAAAAGTTTTCTTGGGTAGCTGAGCCACTTATAAACATGCCCCTCTTGTGTTTTGTTTCAGCGCGCGCAAGGGAAGGAGCAGCACCACCCTCTCTCTGTCCGGGGTGACTTCTAGTGGAGACGCTCCAGCAAGCGAGCAGACAGCCTCCCCAGGCTCCGGCACCACCTCCTTCACCACCTCCTTCCCCTCCAGGAGCAGAGGGCCTTTGGGGAACAGATTCCTAAAAGTGCAGGTGAGCCCAGGCCACGCGACCATTGTCTCCAACCTCTCAGATGTGAGTCTGAACACTTGAAATGTTCTTATACAATGCTTCCAGCGCTGGCAGGAGACTTTAACATACCCTCTCCCTCTTTGTGTACAGCTGCCTGATAGTTTATCTCTGACTAGTCTAACATGTGGCCAGAGGGCCTATGAGACTATTAATGCAATCGATGTCTCTTCAGTGTATCCCAAAGTCGAACTATGGAAATTTTAAAAATTATTTTTATTCTCAATCTGAAGGGGCCTTCTTTGGGACTGTTCTAGACCAATATGGAAGTGAAAGCATAAGAAAATGCTGAAGTTAAAATTAGAACACTACATGCCTCACAACTATTGTAGAAACTGCTGTTAACAAGCTGTGTAACCTTGGGCAAGATGCTTGCCCTCTCTGGACCTTGTTTTCTCAATAGAATGAACTCTAGTTCCATCTCTTTCCTTAAATGGTGCAATTAATAATAATTTCATTAAACTACCTTAATATAATTTTTAGGCGTATTCTCCTTACAATTCCTGGAATCCCATGTATAAATTTAAGACACCAGTTTAGAAATTTATTCTGAGAAAGCTCTGGGGCTCAAATGTCCACCAGGAATTAGTTCCATGTTTCACTCATGAATCCACACAGTCTTTCTGATTTGTTAAGGTTAGTCAGAGAGCAATTATTCTCCTAGCAAATTTGTTACATTACTGTTTGGTTTGGGAATCGTTTTGAGAAGGACACTTATTGACTGAGAACATTATGCTTTAGTGGTCCTGGCGAATTTGGACAGTTACAGTGGGTTTGGGATTTAGTCCTTGGGAATCTCTCGAGCTCTTCATTGTTCACACCGAGATTACTCACGAGGTTATTCACAGCCCCTCCCCAGTGTCCTGACCACTGGCCCTGCAGAACTCTTGAACATGAAGCCAGGCTGGAGGTAGGGCTGGATCTCCAGGGTTCTCACTGACAGAAACATCTTAATTTAATGGAATCGGGGCTGTAATCATCTTGGTGATTTGTGGAACTGCCTTTCCTGTCAATCTTTACATCTCCTGGCATCAAGAAGATGGAAATATTTTGAGTGTTTATAGCATAATGGTGAAGAGCATGGATTCTGGTGTGTGCCTGGGTTCAAATCCCGGCTCTGCCACTTACTCCTTGGGTATCCTTGGGTATCTTTGGGTACATTGTAACTTCTCTGAGCTTTAGTGTCTTCAACTGCATGATAGGGAGGACAATAGTACCTTTCTTTAAGGGTGGTTTTGAGGATTAAAAGAATTATACATCTAAAGTACTTAGAACAGTTCTGTGACATAAGTGTTCAGAAAATTTAAACCATTTTGATTGCCATCTGTCGCACGGTTTGTTCTTCTGCCCCATTCTCTAGTCTCAGGCTGACAAATCCTTTCCTTGTTAGACATTGCTGATTGACCCCAGTACTTGCTTCTGAGCCTAGAATGCAATATTTGAATCCTCCTCAACATTATAACAGATCCAAATCAGAGCATAAGATGAAACCTATCTGCTGACTCAGGTTGTTTGTAGAGTTCTTGATTTTATTTCTTGCTTCAAGACATAAATTTGATATGCTGATTACAAATCTGGGTTATTTGTTTGTTTGTTTTTAAGACTCAGAGCAGTTTTATTATGAAAAGCATAAAAAGATGTGGTTTCTAAAGCCAGAAATAGGATCTAATTCTAAGATGAGTTTTGCTAATGAGTTACTGTCTTGAATGCCTTTCATTTTATATTTAGAAGCGGATGAGTAAGGCTTCCTATCATAGATACTTTGAAATGTTGAAATGAATGTGCAGAAATCCTACCTAGCACAGTAATGGAAGCTTAATTTTTTGAGGCTATTGTTAGCACGATGTCATGAGTTCATCAGGATCTTTACCAGGATGTTATGAAGTCAGTTTTTAGTGAAGGCTTGGAGGATGGGCAGCTAATACTTCACTAGTTTTAAAAGAAGAAGTAAAACAAGAGCAGGAGGGTCCTGACATATGCCAGATGTTTATCTGAGTGCTTTATGTTTACCACTTACAGTAACTTTATTAGGTAGTATCATTATTCCCATTTGACAGCTGCGGGCACTGAGGTATAAAGAGGTTGAGCAACTCTCCAGGTCATACAACTCATCGGAGGTAGAGATGAGACTCAAACCCAGGGGGTCTGATTGCCAAGCAGACAACCTTACCACCTAATTGTGCTGCCACCTGCAGAGAGTAAACTGCATGAAGAAGATGAGAAGTTAGATGGAGGGACCAGATTATAGAAGTCTCAAATACCAGGCTAAGTGATTTTATGTTTATTTGGTGACAGTAGGAAGCCACTGAAGATTTTCCTGTGGAGTGGGTGACAGAATGAGAGCTGGGTGTTTAGGGTTTTATGCCAGGTACAGTATGTGGGCTGTTGAAAGGGAAGATAGGTTAGTGATCGTTGCTGGTGGCTGAGAAGTAATGAGAACGTGGGTTTAGGAAACAGGGTTAAGAGAAGAGCCTGAGAACACCTGTTGTCAGGTGTGCCGAGCAGGATGGGCAGACCTGGAAGCCCAGGCAGAGAAGTGAGAGGAGACCCAGGCCAGAGCAGCGTCCCCCAAGGGGGTGGCTTAGGAATTGAAAGCTTTGGAGATGGGAGAGGATGGAAATGAAACGAAGACCAGTGGGTTGTTATTGTGCACCCATGATGAGCCCGTGGTGCTGGAGGAAAAGCCACATAAAAATGTTCTTTTGCACTCCCGACTCTGCTACTTATGAGTGAGGCCACCTTTGGCAAGTTTGTAAATTTTCCTAAACCCTGGCTGCCTCCTCTGTAGTGTGGTGACAGAGGACCTTACTCAGTCTAAATGTCCTGAACTCCTGTGGTCTTTCCAGCTCTCAGATCTGTAATTCTGGGTCCAAGATGTGTAGCAATAATTGGAAATGTTGTTGTAAAGGTTTGGCTGGTGATTCAACCGCGCTTTTAGGTGAATCAGGAGGCAATGCAGAATGGAGTGTGTCCTTTGGGTGTAATCTGAGAGGAGTCCTGTGTGGTTCCTCTCACAAATACCAGTTGTATCATAGTGACACTGGTAGTAAATGGAAGGATTAGACTGAAAACAATATAGGAATGCAAAAGTCCAGGGAATTTACAAAGAAATCACAAACATCCCCTAGAATGGTAAGGGAAATTTTTCACAAAGCCACTTATTTTCTAAGAAAGTCTGATTGGTTTCTTCAGGGAAAATTCTGTTGATAAGAAATTTTAAAAGGTAGTTTTAAGACATTTAAAAGAGGCAGCATGGAATTTAGGATGAGCTTCTGGTTCCCCTCAAACGCTTCTTTGTGAAGCCCTGATCCCCTCAGTGGGATATAATCCTTTCCTCTGACCTCCTCCTGTGGTGCTTCTCAAACACCCAGATCACTTGGGGGCTTGTTAAAATGCACATTTGACTCAGTGGATCAATACTACTGGTCCGTGGACCACACTTTGAGTAGTAGGAGTCTAAAATATTTACCTTGACTTCTCCCAACAGATAATCATACTCATTTTGAAACAGTGTAACGTAGCTTCCTCACCAGATGGTGAGCTCTGTTCCCCAAAATCTGAAGTAGAATACACATGCATAAAGAGTGCTCGGTATTAATAGTTTAATCCATTCTTCCCTCTGTCAGTGATCTGTATTATTCAATGGTGTCAATAATTTGAACTGTTATAGGCAGGGGCTTTTTCCTTTCAACTGAGAGATTGAAGCAAAATCTGTTGTTGAGAAATAGGCACCAGAATGCAATGTAAAATTTTCACATAAAGTTAAACATACATTTACTATATGGCCCATGAAAACGTGTCCACCCAAAGACTTGTACTTGAATGTTCAATGTAGCTTTATTTATAATAGCCAAAAACTGAAAAGAAACCAACTGTCTATTAGCTGGTGAATTGATAAACAAATTGTGGTCTAGCCATACAGTAGAATACTACTTAGCAATAAAAAGGAATGAATTCCTAGTACAAGTAACAAATGGACAATTTTTTCAAAAGCATTATACTAATTGCGATAAGCCAAAAGTAAGATACATACTGTATGATTCCATGTATATGGACTTCTAGAAAAAGCACAACTATGGTGATAAGCAGATCAGACATCAGGAAATGGGGGAAGGAAGTTGTCTGGAAAGAGGAAGACGGGAACTCTTAGGGTTGATGGAAATGTTTAGTATGATTTGGGTGGTTGTTACATGACTGTATACATTTGTCAAAACTCATCAAATTGTATACGTAAAAGTGGTGAATTTTATTATATAAAAATTTTATCTCAAGATTAATGTAAAAAATGGTTTACAATCATTAACCTATTAAGCATTTCTAACGCTCCTTGGAGACTCTCTTATCAGTGGGATAGTAATATAAGGAAATAAAGAAAAATTCCACTCTGGGAGAAGAAATGAGTCTCTGGGAGAAAATATGAATAAACAGTAGGAACATAAGACGTTCCCTTAAAAGCTTCTTTGTGTCTTTTCAATATAGCCGAGTCTAAAGGGAGAGATCTTGAAAACAGGAACTCCAGTTCATTTATGTTTCACATCCAGCATAGTATGCTATTAGCTGAATGATTTTAGTGTGTCCTGCTGTGCTAGGAAAAAACAAAATTCTGCTGAAAAGTCATTTCTCTCCCTTTTCTATTCTTTGTAGTGAGCACACCCAACGTTCAGGGGAGGTTTCAGCCATATGCTTTGGCAGTGAAAGCTTGGCTTTAATTGGGTGAAAAGACTTGCTACATATGCTAAGGACGAAATCTGGCAAAGCCCCAGCTTTCTTGAAAGATGGAGAGAAGAGTGTGTGTGTGGGAACTCACTGTGTGTCACTGTGTTAGCAGAAGAATTGGAGGGAGAGGAGAGAAAGAAAGTTAGTTATACATGTTCTCCTTTTGCCCTGCAGAAAGAAAAAACTATGTATTTAGAAATCAGAATGTATACAGTCAGTCCAATTTGTTGAAAGTATACAAATAGTTT